AAAGGGTAAAGCACGAATTGAATTTGTACCAGTATTGCAGGTGAAGGTTAAAATAACCAAGCCTTTTAATCCCACCTATGCTTGGCGATACAAACAAATTAGACTTCAATGTTCTTTCTTTAATAGGTTTACTGCCACATGGCTGACAACAACCAAGACTGGACTCTTATCGCTCGATTCTCAAACAGCGATGGCAAGAATTGGATGCGCGACGATGGGAGATGGTGGTATGACCAGCCAACTGCTACTGGAACAACAAATAACCCATCCATAAACAACGATATGATCTCACCAGCATTTTGGTTGGTCAGCGGTAGAGAAATAAAGATCACGCGCAGTGATGACGCCAGCCACACTCCTCTGTTACAGACCACGGGTAACTGTTCGGGTGGACAAACATTTCGATCTAAAATCACAAGTTATGGCGACTTTAGAAATGGCAAAGTTTGGGCCTATGAGAAGTGTCTTGGACAATGTACCGTTAAATATGGAGGACAGTACAATTCAACAGATGGGTTTGAACAGGCTAGTTGCAATGGAAACATCCAGAGCGCCAACAAGATCGGCTTCTGGTGTCACTCGGGTAGTGGTGATGGATCAGTGATGATGATTGGTGGAGGAGGAAGTAGCTGTGCACGTGCAGATCATGGGATTGGAATCACAGAAGCTAACAATGCCTCTTTTAAAGACAACAAATGCAGTGAACAAGACTTTGGTTATGGTCATGGTCATGGTCATAAGTTCTCAACCAATCTATCCCAGCTCTACTCGTTGAACCTATGGATCCGTTAAACGTAATTAGAGCATCACTTTTCAATTAGAGCTGACTGAAGAACTTTGTAAAGGATGATGTTATTCATTTAATGTCACATTGTTATCCAAGTTAGATGAACATTTTAATATGGTCAATAATGCCGCATCTTTTTCCACTCACAGCAAAGATAAAATAATTTGACCATCACCCCAACAACAATGCTAAGATCCTTAAACATCGTTAGATTTGCACTGGCAAAAGATTAATCGCCATTAGTATTTTTCTGCGAAAATCAAATTCAGTAGAATTAATTTAAGTCAGACTCACAACTCATCGATCTTTCAAGGAAATGTGAAGTATTCATTGATGATTCTTCACTAATGTCAGATACAAAATATGAAAGATGTGTTAAATGTTTCAACCGAATATTTCATCAATAAATTTCTGATGCTACGTCGAGCACTCCATGTTTTATGAAATTGGCATAAATGAAGTAAAACGATAAATAAATAGATGAATAAAAAGCTTTGAAACAAGGAAAAAGCCTGAGAGTCCTTGATGTATGGTATCCATTGAACAGTTAAAAAGGTTATGTATAATCTAATTAAAACCGTACCAACGAGAAAACCGGAAAAGGGGTAATAAAGCTCAAATCACCGATTTGGCTCAAACTTGTTACAAATGCTAAGTATCATGAGTTAACAAATGTGCGAAAATAATATGTCAAAATATTCTTTAGGAGATAAAGGGTCCCCCTGGGAAACCCCATTTCTAGCATTTTTGGCATAATTAATTAGCTAACTTTGCATTGCTGCTGTGACAAACTGAAAAGCCATCTGCAAACTCAATCAACTGGGTTGTGCTCTTTATCTATCAGACTTAAACTTCAAGAAAATTGAATTATTTTAAGTTTTTCATTTCGTTTCTTCCCTTAACTCTCCCTTAAGTAGAGACGACTTTTTCTGGTTTAGTCTAAGTACAAAATTAAGGGTATTTTAAGGCCCAATATCTCCGATGACCAATCCCTTCTGATTATTATTCCTACATGGGCAGTGAAAGCCATCACTGGACTTCCAAAGTTAGTAATAAAATTTTGGGGCAACTGATTTCATAACCCATGCTGACGTGAAATTTACATCTAACTCCCGCTTTTTGGTCTGTATCGTCAAAGTTCCGTAAACAACGTCTTTGTTTCAATACCTTAAAATTACTTGAAATTTGCAAGGAATTTCCCAAAGAGTATCGTTTAAACATGAACGAGGAGAGAATCTTTCAATCGCGCAAGATGAGTCCGTTTTGAGAACTTTTCTTCGTAGCCATATTTGGATCATTCTTGAGGAAACGCAACAGTTGATGGTGAACATCAAGGGCGCATGTCGAACTTTCTCACAAAAGAGATCTAGGAAGAAAATTTATAGAACATACATGTATCTGTGGTGCCTCAGTTGCAAATTTTGGCGTGAAATCATTTGTTAGATAAGTAGCCCTTATGTCAACAATGTACCTGATTCGATTTGCTTCGTTTCCTTGTTGAAATATTAAACGCGGTGAGAGCTCTCGGAAAGATCGATCAAAATTATTGGTCTTTCACTGCGTGATAGTTATCGACTTACATGATATGCGTTGATGCCAATAGATAATTTGAAGCCCTGAAAGCTGATGTAAATCAAAAGGACAATCCGCATCTTTGATCAGATCACGCCTGCGATTTTGTTCAGCGGTCAACTTTGACATTCATTTGGCATGTTGTGTTTCTAGTCTACAGAGTCTTCAAATATATAAATATCAAAGATTTACGGCTGCCAAGATATTTGGCTTGTTATTTGTTAAGCTTGAGATAGTTGCTGGTTCACCGATTAAACAAATAAGCCGGTGATATATTGGTCTCCTTCAGCACAAAGAAAAAGAAAATGATCAAAAACCTGACACTTGCGTAGAAATCACTTGCATATTTTATCCGAGGTTTTCTGCTTACAGTTGATATGTAATCTCACGTTGTCTACTGTCATATCTGGCCTCGGAGTGTATGATATATTCCGGCAGCCTTTGTGCCCNTTGTTTCTAAAATGATTTGTTTATCATGTGAGGAACAATCATATAATATGCATCGATCGTCACAAGCAAAGCAGCGACGAATGTCAGAACCTGCACATCTCTATGCACCAGTTTCTAAGACTGCCCCAGATAGAATTAAACTTACACTGAGAGGGCAACGGCTTAAATGTGCAGATCTTGAGCGCCAGCTGAATGAAATGAAATCAGAAATTGCCAAATCCAGTATTGAGGTTGATCACAATTTGAGCAATGATGTTACAACCATACTCAGTGAGGCTCAAGAGGTGACACCGTTCATGAAATTGTTCTGGCGGCAGCAAAAGAAAATGCTCCAAAGTAGTCCAAGTGGTGTCAAATACCATCGAATGGTTATTCGCTATGCCTTATCACTGGCTGCAAAATCTCCCTCCTGCTACGAAGAGATCCGACAGAGCAAAATCCTTGTACTACCAAACCAAAGGACACTCAGAGATTATCGGAATTACATCAGGCCCACGAGAGGATTCCAAAAAAGTGTAGTGGAAGAACTAAATTTATTAGCCAATTCCTACTTTGACACAAAGAGATATTTTGTGTTGCTATAGATGAGATGAAAGTCCAGTCAAATTTAGTATTTGACAAACACACTGGTGAGCTTATCGGTTATGTTGACCTTGGAAAGCCAGATATCAACTATGCAACTCCTGAAAAGCAAGATGACATTGCAACGCATGCCTTAGTTTTCCTTGTAAGAGGTGTTTGTACTGAGCTTAAATTTGCACTGGCATATTTTGCTACAACAGGTGTAACCTCAGCTCAACTTATGTCACTTTTCTGGGAAGGTGTATGCATCCTGGAAACTTCCTGCAATCTCTGGGTTGTAGCAGCCACATCAGACGGAGCATCTCCTAACAGAAAATTCTATCGCCTTCTTAAAGAGCTTGATGGTGCATCTGGGAAAGATGTATGCTACAGAACCATAAATCTGCATGCTCGACACCGTTACATCTACTTTTTCTCGGATGCCCCCCATTTGGTTAAAACCACTCGCAATTCTCTGCATCATTCAGGCTCTGGAAGATGTACAAGGTATGGGATAACATCAACTTTATTTTACATATTACATTTTTGTCATCATACAAAAATAAAAAATATTGCTTCAATTTATATTATACATAGTACAGGAAAATACATAAAATAGAAATGTAGACTTTTCATA